ATTCCGTAGAGGAACATATCTCGTCCGACATAAGAAACATTCCTATACCATATTTAGAGCCAAAGTGGGGTGGGAAACCAATCGAGGAATATAAGTTGGAGATTCTTAAGTCGGGAGTAATTCTAGAAAAACTTGATTTAACTGAAAAAAGTTTTTACGTGATAGGGAGATTGCCTTGCTGTAATTTATCTCTTGCTCATCCGACTATCTCGAGGTACCATGCGATTATTCAATACAGAGCAATAGCAGATGAGAAAAATTCTACAGGTTTTTATTTATATGATTTGGAGAGTACACATGGCACATTTTGGAATGGGCATCGTATAAAACCAAGGACCTATGTTCGGTTACATGGTGGTCATATGATAAGGTTCGGTTGTAGTCAGAGGAAATATATTCTGCAAGCTCCACCAGACGATCAAGAAGAGGAATCTGAACTATCAGTTACACAACTTAAGGTTGGTTTTATTTATAATTATGTTTATGTGTAACTAACATGTTATAATTATGGTATTATAATATTATATAATATTTTACTATAATTAGTGTTGTTAAAATCAGTATTGCAAATATTTTATTATATTCGGTATTGTAATCTGAATTGTACATATTTTTTTGTAATTGGTATTATTATAATTAATCAGTATTGTGTAATATTTTGTTGTAATTATAACTTTGGTATTCTTTTGCAAGGCAAGACTTTCAAACGTATTTGTTTATAGGAAAAACGATTAGAAGAATTGCGGGAACGAGAAATGAGACAGCAAGAGGAAGAAGAAGCAGAAGAAAGAGCGAAACAGGAAGCAGAGAACGAGGGTATTGATTGGGGAATGGGAGAAGATGCAGATGAGGAAACAGATTTGACAGAAAATCCCTACGCTTCTATGGCAGATGAAGAACTATATTTAGATGATCCCAAGAAAACACTGAGAGGCTGGTTCGAAAGAGAGGGATATGATTTGCAATATCAAGTAGAAGAGAAAGGGATAGGCCAATTTTTATGTTGGATAAGGTAAATATAATTATATATAAGATAATCTTTGTATGTAGAGTACTTTAAGATTATATTTACATATTGTACTTTGACTTGTCGCTTTTCTCTTTTTTTATTAATATAAAAATAAAAACAATTTTAGTTTACCTAAAGAATGTTTCGGTGGTCGTTCCATGAAAGCAGAAACTCTTGTCAAAGGAAAGAAGAAAGAATCTGTTATTCAATGCGCTTTGGAAGCCTGTAGAATCTTAGACAGACACGGATTATTGCGACAAGCTAATCATGGTAACGTATAACATGAATAAATGATAATAATTTTTCGAACTTTATTTCTAATTATTGAATTATTAATTAGAGAGTCGAAGAAAAAAAGCAAAGAATTGGGAGGAGGAAGATTTTTACGATTCAGATGAAGATAACTTTTTGGATAGAACGGGAACAGTAGAGAAAAAACGTAAGCAGAGAATGAAATTGGCTGGAAAAATTGAAGAAAAAGTTGAGACATATAGCTCATTGGTAATGTCATTTTCACTTACGTCTATGTCTTTGGTATTATAAATATATCTTCAACCTTTATTGACATTTCATATTATTTCAGACTGAGAAGCATAACGAGATTGTAAACAAAATTTCACGTTTGAATGAGCGTTTAAAAGAAGCGCAAAGGAAAAATGCTAAAGTGGGGGAGTCTAACGAGGATTCGTTGGATGCCTTTATGTCTAGTTTAAACACATCTACTTTGAGTAAAAGCGACATAACGAAAATGAAAGTAGAGTTACAAAACTTACGTAAAGAAGAAATACAACTTGTCAAATTAGTAAACCTTACAAAACCAGCTAATTTGCCGCCTCTTGTCAGTCAAGTGCAAACAGAAAATAAAAGCGACAGCAAAAATCTCCAGCAAAAATCAAATTATTCTATGAAAAAGATTTCTCAACTTGAAAGAAGACGGAAGCTTTTTGAGGCCAACGTGAGTATTTTTCTTTTATTTATTGTTTTATTTTTTAGGTGAAAATATTTTATTGTTTTATTTATGATGTAAAAATATATTTTTCAGAACAAAAGCGATCCTGCGAATTCGTCTTTATATACTATGGATAATGAAGAAGGAGAAGAAGAAGAAGAAGTAGAAGAAGAAGAAGAAGAAGATGATGATGATGATGATGAACAAGAAGAGAATAAAAAAAATAATGTAATAATAAAAGAAGAAGATGCAAGTGTATATAAATCTGAATGCAAAAAGTCGACATCATACGAGGATGAAACGAAATCAAGTGACAGTATAAAAACTGATGATAAACCGATTATAAAAAACATCAATCAGGAAATGAAGAAACAAAACGTTGTAGAAAAGCGAAAAAAGGACAGTAAATCAGAGAAATGGAAAAATATGAAAAAGCTATACGATCAAGACGTTCATTCAGAAGATTATTCTACATGGGTACCGCCGCAAGACCAATCTGGCGATGGAAGAACAAATCTTAATGATAAATATGGATATTGAATTAGCTCTAACATTATATGTACGTAAGAAAAAACAATGTAAATATTCTCGATCAAGGATTTAACGTTACGTATTATAAAGAGACTATTTATTTTTTACACCTAAAATATATTAACACTAGAAGTACCAACTTTTCTTATTCAATTATTATGAAAATATTTAATAAATTACTATGAAAATAAAAAAATGACGAAGAAATCAAGTATTTCTTTAGTATAAAGTATTACTGAAAAATTTTAGAATCCCACCTTTTATACGAAGAATATAATATTAATAATTCTAAAAAATAGAAATGATAATGACCGCTTAGTATATCTAGTATTAAATTATACAACTTATTTAAAATCAAACTGAACAAATTATAAGTCAAAGTTAGATGTTTAAATTAAAATGTTAAAATTAATGAACAATAAAACACACTTCATATAATAAACGTTTTAATCTGTATCAGTTCATTAATGTTAAACAAAATGGTAATTATTGTAAATGGTTCATAATAAAAATTAAACGGTAGTTAAAGATATAAAATTTAAAACAGTAGTGTTACTGTATGAATTTTATTGTTTATTAATTTTATTAAATATCTAGCTTTTGTTCATAGCTCCTTTAATTTGTTTAGTTTGATTTGTAATCTATTTGAACCTTACATTGTCACTTTATTGTTTTCTTTAAAACATTTTTTTAATCAAAATGAATGCTTCGTTTTTAATGCTTTGGATTCGAAATTTTTAATTCATATGATGATCGATGATTATGCAAGAACCAGAGAGAAACCTGAGAGAGGACATAAGGACCTTTTTCCTATAACCACAAAATGCTTGCGCGCACTGCTCTCTGAAGAAGTGGATGTAAACTATACAACATATCCATTTTTTTGCAGTGCTCTTTGGAAATAAATCGCTGCAATAACTAAAATCTATTAAATTAATAGAGATTCAGGTTTCTCTCTATCTTTATTCATAGTCAGATCTTATATTTAAAGTCGCCTTAAGTACAGTCTTAGAATGTCATAAACGATAATCAGAAAGCCATATTAGCATCTTAGAATATTACTTAAGATGATGGTTTTAAAATAAGAATCCACTATGAATACCGGCCTTAATATCTATTGCACACTGGATGCGATGAGATGAGCGACGAGCGATATCCAATAATTAAAAAAATATTGGGTCATCTAAAAAGTATCCGCGGTTTTTTGTCACTAGATGTGTGTTGATGGTCATATATCTAGTGACAAAGTACCGCGGATACTTTTTAGATGACCCAATATAAGAACTCGGAATTTACGAGCAAGTTACCTTCCCAAATATTCAATTTATTTTTATATATTAGGGGTACAAATAAGTTCGTGCGGTTTTGAAAGAGATGGCGTAACTACTGTTTCATTCCACCGTTCCGTATTTCTAAGTATGCGTTGGATAGCTGCGTTGGTTAGTAGGTATTAAGTTCAGTATGTGTCATTTGTTCGAATTGTAAACAACAATATTTTTACTTCGTCAAATATGTCGAACTTTGTACCAAATAAATTTTTGCGGGGAGTTTTACTGCATTACTTCAATATGAAGAAAAGTGCTGCCGAAAGTCATCGTATTTTAGTGGAAGTTTATGGTGACCATGCTCTATCTGAGCGAACGTGTCAGAAGTGGTTTGCACGGTTTAAGAGTGGTGACTTTGACTTGGAAGACCAAGAGCGTGCCGGATGTCCAAGAAAGTTTGAAGACGCAGAATTAGAGGCATTACTCGATGAAGATCCATGTCAAACGCAAGAAGAGCTTGCATTATCATTGGAAGTGACTCAACAAAACATTTCTTTACGCTTCAAAGCCATGGGAATGATTCAGAAGCAAGGAAATTGGGTGCCGTACGAGTTGAAGCCGAGAGATGTTGAACGGCGTTTGCTTGTGAACAGCTGCTTGAAAGGCAAAGATGGAAGGGATTTCTGCATCGCCTTGTGACTGGGGGATGCAAAATGGGATTACGATAACCCCAAGCGCAGAAAATCATGGGGAGTCCTGACCATGTTTCCACGTCGACGGCCAAACCGAATATTCACGGCAAGGTCATGCTCTGTATTTGGTGGGACCTGTTGGGCGTAGTGTATTATGAGCTGTTAAAACCGACTGAAACAATCACAGGCGATCAGTATCGAACGCAATTGATGCGTTTGAGCCGAGCATTGAAAGACAAACGGCCGCAATACAACGAGAGACACGATAAAGTGATTTTACAGCATGACAATACTCGATCCCATGTTGCGAAAGTGGTCAAGACATACTTGAAAACGTTGAAATGGGAAGTCCTACCCCACCCACCGTATTCTCCAGACATTGCTCCCTCTGACTATCACTTGTTTCGATCAATGGCACACGACCTGGCTGACCAGCACTTCCGGTCTTATGAAGAAGTAAAAAATTGGATCGATTCGTGGATCGCCTCAAAAGATGACCAGTTTTTTCGACGCGGGATTCGTACGCTGCCCGAAAGATGGGAGAAAGTAGTGGCCAGCGATGGACAATACTTTGAATCATAAATGTATAATTTATTTATTAGGTGTTGGAATTAATTCGTAGCGTTTTACAAGTGATGGGAAGTACTTTCATTAATGTATTTTTTAATGCTCATGTGAAATAAATAACATTCTTTCATTAAAAAACGCTACGAATTAATTCCAACACCTAATAAATAAAAGTTGTTAAATTTTAAGGATTAAAAAAAACTTTTTCTTTCTTTTTCTTATTAAATATTTTATGTTTTTAGTAAGTTAAAATGCGACGATTCGTATTATGTATTTATCGCGATTACATTTCAAAAAGAAATGTGAAGATCGGCACGCGGCATAACTACCTACCTGTACGAGCCTCGGAAATGGAATGACTGCGGTAACTACACATAAACGTGACGCATCACGCCGCTCCGTGCCATCCCGTATCATCTCCTCTCTAAAGCCGCGCGCCAACCTGTCGAAATAACGAATATTACGAATAAGTAAAATAATATATTCTTTATATTTTTAATGTTCTCCGATCTGTTTCTCCGAAGCTTTATTGCACGATTTTTATTTTTTTTTCTTAGATTCTTTACGCATTCACGCAGCTTATGAATATCTTAGTTTAATTGTTTTAAGATATAAGAGTTATTTAGTATTAATTATTTTAAATACAACTATACTTCCAACTTATTACTTATTAAACATATTTAATATTTTTTATTTTAATAAAATTGAAAATTCAATCAAGTTAATTTAGTGAATTTTGTCTTATAATATCTTATAAAATTACGACGTTTCTTTATGCAAATTTTCTGAAAATTTGTTTTGGTGTCTCTTTGGGGATTCTTATACAGAATCAGAATAAATCCCGAGTTTTCTCGTCTGCAGTTACTAAAAATAATAATTTTGTTAATAATAATGAGTCTCTCAATGACAATTGTTATGTATTTTAAAATCAAGTTGCGAAATTATAATTTAGTGGTATATTTTAACATATAATTTTTGTCACTTTCTTTATTAAATGTTCTCCCACTAGTAATAATAATGTTAGTAATATTACTGTCTTGATTTAACAATAGGAATTTAGTATTATATAATTAATATATAATGATTATTATTTAAATCCCAATTATTAAGTAAATAAGTTTAAGTTTTATACATAAAATTTTTGGTTATTTTTTTATGGTTGCTCTAATAAAAATATGATTACAAATGTGTATATTTCATTTTCTAATTGTTATTTTTAAAATCTTTTTAAGTATTGGACATCCCGCAATTGCAGAATATTATTAATTATTAATTTGTATATATATTTTTTTATCATAAAATACATGCAGATATTATGAGATTATATTTAATAAATTTTGATTTTTGTCGACTTAGATAATTTTTACCAAAATACTTCATAGTCTTTTAACAATGTTATCGTGATTACATGAATTTAATTAAGAAATGTGAGTACAAAAAATTCGAAATAAATCGAATGGGTATCCTTATATTAGTAAGATATTAATAATTAAAATTTTTGAAAAATAAAAATGTTAAATTTTATATAATAAATGTTTCAATTATAAAAGTATAGTTCTTTAAAATCCCAAAAGTCTATCGGATTTGGCTTATCTCGAACAATTGGTACGAGAAATTTTTGTATCCATACATATAAAAAATTACAATACACATGCATTTTATTATTATTAAATATATTCCTTCATAACCACTGTTCCATAAGGAAATCGTTCTATCCATTTATTTTTGATAAGAGATGATTTTTAGTGATGTGGCAGAACATATTTTCTCGCGACTTTTAATATTATATTAAAGATATGATAAAAAAGGTAATTATAATTGATGACATGTTCAAACTGTCTCAAACTGTCGTAAGTAGTCTGAGAGATTCGGAATGCACACCCTCTTGTAACAAGATTACTGGTATTTGACGGATGCTTAACTTTTCTTTGCAAATGGATCTTGTGAATTTGATGTAGAATCAGAATACATTAAGTTCGCTCTCCACTACGAAGATTGTTCTTCTTTGTATTGGATACTAATCAGCATACAAAGCGGAGGGATTTTGATGGGATGAAAGTATTGAGATAATTAATCTTAAACGTAATGAAAGTGCTGTTATAAATATATTAATGACTTTTTATCGCAATATTATTAAGTTTCATATTTGCAAATTAATAATTAATAGTTAATACGATCTAATTGTTGTTAATAAGTGTATTTATTTGTAGTATTTGTTCATTTATCAATATTTTCATTATCAATATTTTCATTAAACATTAATTAGAAAAATTTGTGTTATCATACGGATTTTCTACGTTTTCGTATAATCATGTAGGACGATAATATGTACCAAATATCGATTTATCATCTTCAGCTTTGAAAAATGAACGATGTACCGTAAGAAAAGTGGACGTTGCTATGTAGTTTACATCCATTTTGTCAGAGGGCAGTAGTGAGCGGCAGCATTTTGTGGTTATAGGTTTTGGGCCGTCATGTCCTCTCTGAGGTTTCTCTTCGGTTTGCATTACGTGCATTATAGACTTTCTGCACTGACAGTACATTGAATTTTGAAACTGTATTGTAGATTACAGATCAAGTCGTGACATGTAAGTTAATGTCTTGGATAATTTCGCTTTGAACACAAAGGAGTATGGAGCACGTTGATAATTCGAGCTATTTCCAAACGAGTATGTATCGCAGTTACATGTATATGTATGTACTGATTAATGTTCTTATATTTACATTCGTGTCATTGCGGATTTTATTTCCTGCTTTCTGGAATAAATGTCAAGCTCGCGAAGCAATTACAGAGTCTTTTGTATTATAGTTTGGGCTCCGATAGCGTCTGTGGGATGGTACATCGTCGGACTTGGGATCATTGCATTTTATACGTTTCCACATATTCAAGAAAAATTTAAGAGTTGGAAAGTCGCGAGGAACCAACGAGATGCTGCACTTGGCAAAAGTGAGTCAATAATTTATCTAAAAAAAAATCCTTAACTAGTAGGCAACAAATAATTTACAATGTTATTTGTAATATAACATATATACTTGTTTCACTTTGGTATTAATTGTTTGTTAATTATTTGTTTAGAAACTGATGAATTACCGCAGTTGTCGGCTAATGTGGAATTGGCACGACAGAAGATGCAAGAGACGTACGACAAGTCTCGTATCTTAGCACAAATTAAAGAAGAAGAGGTACTTTTTGCTATACATTGCTTTAGGAATAGTCACCTGGGGTATATTTACACTCCAACAGTAAAAAAAAGTATAAATTATAAAATATTGTTTAACATTTTTTTTTATTCTTTACGAATCTTTAAGTAAACATTTCTTTCGAAAACGTAATAAAAAAGAGTTGTTAAAATTAAAAATCGTTATTTTTTTAGAAACACTATTGTAATAAGCTATTTAACGTACTTACTCCATTTAATATTTGTTTGGTGTCTACTTACATAAAAAAAATCAGATGACTATTCGCGAATTAAGATAACTTATTTTTATACTTACATTTTTGAAATATAAATTAGTATAATCTATCTTTTTCTCATAGGAGAAAGAGAAAAAGAAACAAAAGGTCTTGAAATTGCTGGAGAATAAAAATGTGGGTATAAGACTAGGTAGTACAATCGATGATGAAATTCCTAGTACGAGTTCAAATACAGGTACAAAGTTAAAGTCAGGTAAGACTTACATTATATCGTAATTTACTATCTAAGGTAAATTTAAATAATTTGCTGTATTCCTATGTTTTATTTTTAGAATATAATCCCTTAATGGGTGATAATACTCGTGGATATCGTCCTCCAAAACGGAGCTGTTGCAAAAAAGGTGGATGCGGTTAAAATAATTTTATAGAATCTCATAAAAAGAAAGGCCATTCCATTCTTGCAATTTAACAATTGTCAAAATAAAAAGGGAAGTAACTTACGAAATCAACAAATAGCACCTGCTTAAATTGCGATACTTATAATTTGTACAAATTTAAGATTTTGTAAAAAAAATTGATGTATATTTAATTGTTATATTAACATTAATTCGTAATATGTACAATTTTTAAGCTTTAATAAACTAGAGGCAAAATCGATTTTATTTATCAAATTAATATAGATTTCATATATTTTCGTTATCTATTTTAGTAAGTTTACAATAAAATTATCTAAAAAAATTAATGTGTGTTTGCTGAAGACAACAAGGAATAATAAGGGATAAAATATTAAATAAAGGCGCTTGAATTTTCTCGCGCACAGACTCTTCAATTTTTCAACATTACCTTTTATTAATCGTTATCAGTATAATATGCAATGATATATATCAGCATACGTCGCTTTATATGTGTACGTGGTACTTGACAATAGCAATTACAAATTATCTACAGTCGTGCGCGTGTATGTCTATGTGTATGTATACGTGTGTAACGTGTGTCTCTGTAGTATGCACGCTCCTATTTTACTCTCTTAAATTTCATCGATTTCATTCGTGCGACGACGGTCGGCGAAGAGAGACGAGCGGCGTGTCTCTCTTCTATAGTAAATAAATTATAAAATTAACTATATAAAAATGCTCGCCATTTTTATTTATTCGCTGTATTTACAAAATATAAAAAGGAAAGCTTGAGCTAAATACGCGTCTCCACGGGCCCCAATGTACGTATGCATTACACGTCTGTGTAATTACACGCGTGTGGCCTGTAAAACGCAGTCCAGAGAAAGAGAGAGACAAATAGGAAACGATTATCTCTTTTTTCCTCTCTTTCTCTCACATTGCCTCCAATTCGAAATCACTATTTCGTGTTCTTAATGATATGATATTATTTTTACGTAGCTCTAGCTCTCTAACGGTCTACTTAATCCTTTAAGCGCGATCCAGGACCAATTGTTTGCACCAACGTCGATCGATCGAGTGCTATTCTAGTGTAATGAATTCTTTTACTCTGCGTTAGACAGAAAATTATTAAGAACACTTTGATGAATTTATGAAATTGACTTTTTTCTCAGGAGAAATATCGAGCGAATTTTCATTCTTAATGAATTTCTTGGCAGTTTCATTGAAAAATATGATTCCATTTGATTACTGATTTAATCAGAATCTAGAAATCTTCATTAAAAAAAGTTGATCCCAAATTTATCAATATATCTTCAAAATATTTTTCAATAGATCCCGAATATCTGAACTCTCGGAAATAATACATCGATCAGTTCAATTGGTGCAACTAGCGGTCTTCGTCGTTGCATTCGGCGGTCTTGGCAGTACCAAGTTTAAAGTCCAGAGAGCATTTCTCGCAAAAGCGGCCAAACTCTGTCTCGATATCGCTACCAGATATGATTTTACAAATCGAAAAATCTCGCCCTAACGTCAATACAATCGTTTCCCCATCTACATAACGATCAATGGCAGTTTTAACAAATAGATCGGTTTAATCGATTGATCACGTTTATTGCACGTGTTCACGATCTTGTTGGAGTCTGGTTATCGATCATGTAATTTTTTCTCTATGACGGAAACATGAAAAGTGAACATTTTTACGCATGTATGTACATATAAACATATCCATAAAAAAAAATTTTCACTTTTCATATTTCCGTCTGAAGGAAAAAGTTATATGATTGACTCCCTGAACACAAATATTGTTGTAACTGTTTCCGACAGTCATAAGTCAACTTTATTTATCATATTGCTTAACGATATCTTTAATTTCAACAAAAGATTTGATTCTAATATTCTAGTGAATTTTTGTAACAATCAAAAGTAACCGCTGTGACAAAAGTCTATGATGCAGCGCAATTCATACAACATACGTCGATCCTTGGGATTGACTTATAACTCTGTCAGAAACAATTACGACAATCTTTGTATTCAGGTCCTTCGTTTGATCTGTTCGACAAACTTGTCACGTGTTTGGGGGGATGTATGATATATTACGTTTCGTGTATGTAGCTGTATGTAGCGTGTATGTTAATCATGTGTTCGTGTTGAATGTCGTTTACGCGAGCCGCACAGTTCTTTTTTTTTTTTTTTTAAGTTAAACGTTACTGTGTTTTATACAAGTTCTCTCAACCATCGTAACAATACAAAGATGACAAATTATAAAAATAATACATTATCTTTTTTTCTCGTTCCTTCGCGCATTGATACGATGGTTTGGCAGCGTGTCCGTTGGCTGAATCACGATCATTTAGGATTGGAGATACGGTGCTTTCCGAAAGGGTCACGATTCTGTAGCCTTCGAAGAGATGTATGTATATCCATACGTGCATGTAATATACCCTTTCCCTCGATAATACGCGGTTGCATCTTGCCGATCCGAGCTCGCGCGCACGAATTTGGAAGTTGCGGATCCACTGCTCGTTTTATCAAACGCACCTCGCAGGTATAAACGATATACTATCATTATCGATTTAAACGTCTTCGTGTCTCTCTCAAGTAGAACATCCGCAGTGGATTCGTATTTTAACGCAGTATATACTCTCCCGAGCAAGATATACCTTCGCTCATCTAACGGAACACGAACCGATATCCTCAAGGTTCTAACGATAATGGGAGTCAGGAAGGGTCACACCATATCAATCAATCGCAGCTATGAATTGGTAATATCAACTTGGTACACTCCTATACAGCACAGACCTCCAAGAGATATCCTAACAACGTCCTACGGATGTTCCCAGGACGTCACTCGTAAATAAAGTACTATGTAAGATATCACGATGATATAATAGTACGACGCCCAACGTCCCACAGCTCATCAAAACGCTGAAGATAGTTTCCGTCATTCCTTCGACAGGGCGTTAGATAAGCAAAGGTGGAAAAAAAGACAGGAGAGCAATGCCTGCTCGCGTCTATCTTTCCTTCAGCTCAACGCGTCTCTCACAGGGTCGTCGCGCGAATTCGCACCGGACGCACACACTCGTACGTGACGACGGAGATACTTAAAATACGCATCCTATCTAATTACTGTAATGAGATGCTTCCTTCTAGAACTAGTCTCGCGTCTATTCCCCTTGGCAACTCGCTCGCTCTTCTCCTCTCATCTATCTTGTGTTTTTTTTTAAGCCTAAAAGTATATCGAGATGATATCTTCTTTCTTACTTATTCCTTCGCCTGCTTGGATGGACTTTTTTTCTTACTGGATATGAATTTACTCGCGCGCGGCTGCGCGTCGACACGCGAATAAATTCATATGCCGAAACTCTTACGAAATTATATAATATAGTCATATGTATCACTAGGTAGACCTTAAGTTCAACTCTCTGAGTTAACAAATTTAATTCAATATCTCTGCTAATCAATTATTTCTTTTCTCTTTCCTCCCCCCTTCTTTCCTCTTACATTAAATCCGAGAGCGCAATTCCTATGTGATTTATTTTCTTTCTTTTTTTTTACGGGAATATACATGCGGCAGTGGCAGTTCGTTCTATTGAATATCTGAATGAATAGTATCTATCGCGCGGATTAACTTTTCTATTCAGGCAGCAGACGGTCTCAAACCGAGTGGAGCTAATTGTATTGTGTACGTATAACAAATTTGAGCGATTCACCACACGTCATTTGAACAAGCCACATGCGAGTTCCGCTCGGCACGCGCGCGCGCCGTTAGAATAACACTAATCCGTTTACTTGTCACTTAATCGAAAGTCGTAATTAATAAGTAAGTCGCATACCCCGCGTGTACAAAGGAAAGCCACGCCCACGCTTCGCCGCGACGGCGTCGTTACGGGGAGGAAAGAAAAAGGGTCATCGCACGGGTCGCCGGAGTGCCTCGCCTCCGCGTAGCGCGCTATCGCGGTTGAAAGGAACCCGTATCTCGACGGGACCCCTTGAAAAATGCGTACAAAATGTCTCGCTTGTTATATATATATACATCGGAGGAGCTTCGCGCATTATAGATTAAACGGAAATTTAATCGGCGTTTCATTCCTCCGAATCAGCCGGCAATTAACAATCGAACTGTCGTTCACAAGCATAGACGGATTTAGACACTCTTTGGCGAATTTGAAACTTTTTAAATCTTTGTTTGAGTAAGTTATTAAATAATAAAATAATAAGGACAAGTGAGAATCAAGCGCTGCAGTTGGTGCATAAATTATCAAATGTAATATGATCTTATTAAAAAGGAGTATAGAAAGATATAACGAAGGAAATGATAATGCCAATGAAAGCCGACACAGTTGATCGTGTAATTCAAATAAATAAATAAGTACATGTTAATCACTAATTACAGACGTTTCGATCCTAAAATTGGATTAGTCTTAGTGTGAGTAACAAATATTGAAATCCTTGTAATAAATTTTTGTACATTGCAGAAAGACAGACAAATATGACTGAATCATCATTAAGTTATTGTCTAAAATTAAAAAACTTTAATTGTCGTCTATCGTATTTAGTTTGGATACTTAAACCAAATTTTGAAATTTCATAATTTAAATTGAACTCAGCATAACGATGCTCCGTTAATGCGATTTGATTATACTTATGTACGTCAGATTATTAACAATTAATATCAGATTATTAATATTCTTATAAAAATGCTTATTAGCATTAAATATTATTAAATTGCTTATTAATTTATTAAGTGATATTAGTACTTTGGTTCTGCTCATGATTGCGTTTCAAGAACCGAAAAAGATTTCGATTTGCGGAATTAGACATGTATATAAATTCATACATAAAAATAGTTAAACATTTGAGATCTGTTTTGCCACACTAAAGGCATAAAATTTCTCTCATTTATATTTAATTAGATTTATTTTCATCCGTCCAAATTTGTGACATAAGAAAAAATACATTCGCAACGTTTCGCTGTTTTCCTTTTAGGAGACAAATATCATTTTATCCTTCTTGGCAATCATAAAGATAGAATAATAAAGATAGAACGACATTTGTGTCGAGTATATCTCCTAAAAAGAAAACAATTTTAGTCGAGTCATTTCTCAACGAAAAATCGTGTATGTAATCTCATGTAAGTTCCAATCATGATGAGTAATTATATTTAATTATATATAATTATATTCATATAAAAAAGCTACGCTATGCTCTCGAATAAATGGTGAGATATACTCAACATATGTGCGCCTGGTTGTATTCTCAATATTTTACATAAATGGAAATAAGCACATTAAAAATGAAATCCAATACAATTTTCTTGTATTAAATATTTCATTTGCTGATGTATATTTCCATGAGTTTCACCTCTATTCTAAATCCGTCTATGGAAACCGATGAGAAATGTTAGCCCGAATCATCCGTAAACGCGACGCTCCAGCCATAAATGCCGCATTCAAACGACGTGTACTCTATCCTGTTAAAAATGTGCGCTTCAAAGGAGAGAAAGATGAGGATAATAAAATTTCATGGTTCTAATAGTATGCAATTCTTCTTTGACCGCTATGCAAAAGACGCTTTCAATAAGTCGGTCGTTACGAATGCAAATGTACTTCGTTGTGTTTTCCATCTAAAGTCCCATCGCGAAGAAAGTTGAAGATTAATGAGAAAAAGAATACGAAGACTCGGATATCTTTTTTTTCGTAAGTACAAAAATTTTAAGATCTTTGTGTAAATCATACTACTAGCAATGTTAAAATTTTACAAATGTTAGTTTCTTTTCTGTATTTTTTCTTTCGTTTTTACTGTTGTCTCTTATAATAATATCAATGTATTATATTATAACAACAATCTAGACGCAGTTTTAAAACAATTCACGATTTGCAATTATAATTCGCAAACGAATTAGATCGCGGTGAGACGATGGAAATATCCGATAAAAGTCGGAATCAGGTACGCGTTGGAGAATAACGCACTTTATATTGGCAGTATCGTCGACAAGTTCGAAGCGCACATTTTTGACGAGCACATTCTCACTTTTAGATGTCAGGTCGTGTGTATTAAAGGATACATGAGATACCTTACGTATCTGTTACTTACGCGACATGAGTTCAATACGATGTATAAATTAATAACTAATGACTAATCTCGTTAGAATAACTTTGTACAATTTATACAGGACCGTTTGCGTGATATGATAATATGTATAATATGTATATATATATATATTACGCGTTTTTATTGTTACTTCGTTTCGTTTTAAAAACGTATTTACTACGTGCGCCCGTTTTGGAAGAATTATACGTGGCCCTTCTTCGTGGAGATTAGCCCTCGGTTGCCTTAGGATTTAGGAACGTTATATCCAAAATAATATACTCCATTTGTCGTGGCCTGAGCACCTTACAGGCTGTCGAAAATAAATGCCACGCTTTATGAGGCCGGTCGCGATGCCGAGCGCGAATCATCTTGTCGGGCGTGACATGTTAATCCTTTCGCTACGATTATACCTGCCTATCCATTCAGCTTCCGTCGTGTGCTGAGAGATACTGTAATCGCCCACCTCTAATTACTCGCACCAAGGATGACTGCATCCACCAAAACGCCCATTCACATTTTGCGTTTGATTCTGATTCCCGAATGTTTAGCTATTTAACATAGAGATGAGAGATGCTATTATGGACTCAGAATCGAACGAGCTCATTTAGTGTCGAACATGGAACATGAATATGAGCAATTGCTGCGTATTGCAATCCGTAATATATTGCATTTGGGCTTCACGATTGAAAACAATCACTTCGTCCGCAGGAAGTGAAGCCTTTCGACAAAAACCACCGTAGTGAAAGGATCATTCTGCGTACAGAACAAGCAGACACGGTCGATCGATAAGTTAATTTCGTGTACAGCACAGTAGAACAATTGCGAACGATTGCCTGTTCGATTGTTTCCGAGACAATGACTTCGGAATGAAATCACTTTGACGCTCGAAGAGATCGCGGAACTACCCTATACCGAATTATTTTAAAAATCTTGAAGTCTCATTTTCAACAAACAAGCTCGTCTCGGTACGATAACGTACGCGTATACTCTTATTATTGCTATAATATTGGAGTCTTTATCTCTCTTAGAGCGTAATAAGTGCAATCGTTTCAATAATTTTAATCAAATATTTAGCTGCTCGTCATAAGAAATATGTTATTTTTTAAAACAAGAACTTACTTTGTAAAATTAGAGTTCAGTTATTTATGTCTTCTATTGCTTATAAATGGAGATAAACTAAAATAATTTACCTCCGAGTTATCAAATTTTTTTATCGACAAAATTTGTCAATCAATAAATAGTTGACCGCGCTTGCTTGATTCGTACGCGCTTTACGTGACCCAAATCTTAGTTCGCGCTCAAACGGATCAACCCGTTGTATCGTATATTCTTCTCTCCGTTTATGTTATCGCCACGTTAAAAAAAAACACGTCACACACGGAAAATTTATACACGACATTCATTCCGGAGCGGTCGCGCGGAAACTTTTGTAGCTCGCTGACATTCGCAAGCTAAAATGTGACTTTTAAAGCCACTATTTAAGATAAAAACTTAATCAAACTAACAGTACGTCAGCGGGAATGGCAGTTTACATGACAATCGAAAATACAGCGAAGTTCAAGATTGAAATATTAGCCCGTGACCGCTCAGGCGTTAAATGTTTACTCGAGGAACATGTCGCGCAACAGCAAATCGCAATATATGAGAGAGAAGAACATTTTCTTTCCTCTTTTTTCTTTTTCTTAATATATTTCACGAATATTGGGATCACTTCTATCTCTCAGCGTGATACAAAGTGAAGAATAAAGAAAATATAAGCAAGGTCCGATGATACGTTAATCAGTCTATTTGGTAGAGCGTTCAAAGAAAGATAATACTACGCGTTGCTTCCATTCCTCTTGCGATGTTATCTGTTTTGAAAGCCCTTATCCAAGTACAGAGTACAAAACAATCGACTATATCGCGTGTACGTAACGGGGTCTAGGCGGCATAGCATTCAAATGTTGCAAGCATCAGTCACGGAGCGATTCAATCTTTCGAGTCTTGAAAGTTGAAATAATGTTCCTACCACGATAGACCGTTATTGCGCTTCGTACAAACACAAGAATATTCTACAAGCTTAAACTACTGCCACGTAATCAGTTAAACGTAAAACATTGTCAGTCATGGAATAATTATAATAATATTTCGCTGTTAAATTTTTTCGATATTATATAACACAGAGAAAGTACGAGATTCACTCATTGTCACCAAACTTGTGTATAATCAACAAATCAAATCGATGTAGCTTTCCAGCGTGTGGACCGTTGAAAGAAACGCGGTAGCGTTTCGCGCCAAGTATATATAGAAATATAGTAACCCTGCGAGACACTACGATGTATCTTTCATTATATATACGATGCGCTCAATCGAACCGTACTCGACGAGCTACCACGACATTGCTGATTGCGAAACGGCCTCCCGTAGTCGCTAGAGTACGATCGTTCGTTGTGATCGAAGGCCGTTTGTTCAGGCACGTCCTGTATTTACTATGTCCAAGTAGTATTTAGCTTTCACGGTGATCACCCAGTCGACTAGACTCCGTCGGAGCGTTCGGGTTATTGCCGCTTGCAAAGATACTATTTAGCTTATTGTATCGTTGACTGCCCGTACTACTCATCGTATTAGAGGCCGAAGAATTGTGTTGACTGTAATTGCCCGTCCTTGAAAAACTAGGCAGCTTGTCTGAAAGCAGTAACGACAGAAACATGTTAAAAATATGTTTGATCCTTCAAACAGACTTGGGCAAAAATTAAATTTAATTAAAGGCAAAAGAACAAATCAATACTAGAAGTATCAACGTTTTATATTCATTTAAAAAAAAAAGAGGAAATCAAACGAATAAATTATTATAAAAATAAAAAGAGATGAAAAACCAAATATTTTATTAGTACAAAGAACACAATTATTAAAAAGTAAAAACTTTTTTTAATTCTATTTTTTATACAAGAAATATAATATTAATCTAAAAAATAGAAATGATTAATAGTAACTGTTCGGTATTTCTTTTAGTGTTAAGTTTTCTTTTTCGAATAAATTACCTTTACTACGATGCCTCAGTCTCTCCTGTGAATTCGTACTTCCGCATTGCCTTTGGGGGATGCAGGAGTAATTGCTGTCGCTACTGTACGTAGGTGAGGACGTCCTGTTTCTTCTTCGCGGACTCCTATTATTCCTGCTTCGGGAACCCGTTCTGCTACTACTGTGACCGCATGCCGTACTATACTGCTGCGCGTTGTATTGCACGGTGTCGGCGTAGAGGCAGCTCGATTCCGAGCACGAGCAACATGCGTCCGAGTGCGTGTTGGAGTCGCATGACTTCCTGTCCCACTCGTCATTCTCGGGCTGATAGAGATTGTCATTGTGGAACATTTCGTCTCTGTGCCGATACAGCTCTTCGCTCATGGCGGACGGCGTCAGATGGGACTGTTGATTGTTGGAACGAGTAAACGCGGGATCGCCGCGCGCGCCGTAATCGTCTGGCAGACCGTTCTGGTGATGGCCATAAATCACGGAGCCACTTTCATATTCATTCTCCTGGTTCTTGTAATCGTAGTGATTGAAACCCTGCGGGAACGAGGGTAATGGTGGCGGATTAGTTTGCGGTGGCAGTGTCGTGTATCTGCCCTGCGGAACTTGAAGGTTGCCAGGCATCTGGAGAGCGCCGGTCTCCGAGTGCTGACTCTGTCCGCTACTACTCCAGGGTGTTGGCGACGGGCTGAAGCTATTGGTCACTCTGATAGGCGGAGTAGGTGGACTCTGTGGATTGCACGAACCGGCACCTGAGTTACCGCAGTGATCTAGATCGTTCTGGATGCTTCTCTTGCCGAGATGCGGACTGAACGGCACTTGTTGCTGTTGCTGTTGGTGCGAATGTTGCAACTGATGCTGCTGCTGCTGCTGTATCCGACCAGTGGCTACGGATGTGCCAAGAGGGGGTGGGTGTTCAGGCGGCGGCGGCAACATGTCGCACCAGTTAGGCATCGGCATACCGGTTTGTGGCGCGTCGCCTGCAGAGCCTGTTATTCTGTACTGTCTCCTTTGCATGTCCAGATTCTCGTCTGCGTAGGCGGCGTCCCCGCCGCTCATGTTGTCACTGCTTGGCGACACCGTAGACTTGTTGGGTTCCTGATTCGAGTCCAGGCTTGAATAATCCGGTTTCAGACACGAATCGCTGGAGTTTGACTTCTGGCAGCTGGTTTCGATCGAGTCTGAGTTACGGCTGCCCACACACAGGGTCGTGGTCGCGTATGGCTCCGGCGGCGGCGCTTGCATTTGCTTGCGTGTGTTGTAGAACGTCGTCAGATTTACTTCAGCGTATTCCGAGCCGGCCATGCCCATTATACCGGCCGCCAGCATGTGCTGATTATTAAGTAACTTGGTCTCACAATCCTTATCGTTGGCGGCCTGGAGAGTATTAGTTGGCCGCCAACCTCGTTCCAGCCAGAGCGTGTCTTTATTCAATTGACAGATATCGTTTGCGGTACCCACAGGTACATTTAAGTGACCCAGTTGCTTGCTCATCGCTTGCCTACGTCTCACGTACAGGGCGGCCAACAGCACGGCGATAATGGTGAATATCATCGTTATTATCAGCACAAGGAACCACGTTTCTCTGACAACGGACGCACCTCCATGGCTGGGATCGGTACGCGGCGGTAATTGCGTCAGCTGTCCTGGATCCATGTTTAACAGAGTCGGACTAGAAAAAGGACCCAGTCCAACCCGAGTTTGTCCAGCGACGCGAGCCGTGTATAAACCGCCAGTGGTCAGGCTGTTGATGATCACCGACGTGGTAGACGCGTTCAGGGACATTTGCCCCAGAATCTTATTGCTGCTGTTGCTCTTGATCTGAATCTATCGAACGGATACGAATTGGCAGTGAGATATAGAGAGATATATTCTTATACTATTAGGGAAGACTAACGGCGACCTTTACCTTGTAACCAATCAATTGGCCATTCTGAGTGTTCTTTGGTGGTGGTGACCATCGAACGAAAGCCGAGGTCATATTTATCATCCCCACATGGACATTCTCGGGAGCGCCCGAGGGCATGTCCTCCAATGTGGTGACCAGCTTCACGTTGCTCGGTCGACCTTCGATTATCTTGTAGAAGGGGACCAGGAAGAATTCGTAACGCGTATACTTTTTTAGATTAGTCAGCACGTAACTGGTAGCGCCAGCGTTGAGCACCGTAACCATCTGATATTCTGGTTTCTCGGAAACCTCGCGATATCGTATATAAAGACCTTCCACTAAATCTGCTGCGCCAAGAATCTAAAATTCAAATTCTAGTATGTTATTCTAATCCTTTGTTGTTATTTTAATGTTTTCCAATTCCAATATCCAACACTGCAGAGTATCTCAAATACCGAGAGAGATTTACTGAAAAATTTTTTTGTTAAAAAAATTGAACAAAAGCTGATAGCTCTCATCTATATTTTTATTTCTAATACAAATACAAATAAAGTCTGGATAAATTAAATCTTTGCTGAAGTGGATGCATTTGATATAAACAAGTATCTTTTTAAAATAAACAAACAAACGTTATTTCTGTACTGTTAAAAACATGTATTTTTGAAAATTTTCAAGTTAGCATCTGCCACCAAGTTCCGCACGTTTGTTATGCTAAATCGATACCGGCAAAACATCGCGTATAATGTTGCCTGATACTTACGTCCCACATGATCTTCACGCTGGTACTGGTCAACGGTTGTACCTCTTTGAGATGTAAAATCTCGCTGTTCAGCCGATCCCTGGCGCGAGTCAGTTCCACTTGCGGTACCGTATGCTGATTTACGTTAGTAGTTTGTACGACGTCCGACAGTGGTCCAGGCAAGGAGAGCCCCTGGCTATTTTCCGCTCGTACTAGGAAAACGTAATTGGTCTCCGGCCTTAAATCTGTCACCTGTTGATGGATAAAACAGAAAACCAGATTCGTTAGTTTGACAAATAAATAAAAAAAAATAAATGTTATGTATACACACACGTATAGTCCATGTATGTTGTTTCCTGCTTGTAAACTAGTTTTAGTAAACTAGAATTACAACCGCTGATGCTATTTTGATTCCGCTAATCATATTAAAAAAAATTTTTTTTTTTGTTAAAGTATTAAACATTGAAAATATGAATATAATACTAAATAATTCTAACAATACAAATAATATTAAAATAATTTTTCACTAACCAAAAACAAAAATAGAACATTACTAAATTGGCACTTTCGGCAGTTGTAGCAGAATATCATCGGCGATTAACTACTAAACGTTTACTTTTTTTATACTGCGGTATTTGTTCTCTGAATACATTCTTGAAGGGCTGGTTAAAACCTTATATTGCGCGAAAACGACATTTGAAGTATATTGCGTCTGTTTGATACAGGATATTAAAGTCTCTTACGTAGACAGCCATTACTTTGTGGCATTAGGCTTCTTGGGCTCTTTATTAAAACGTAGTTCCAACACGAAACTTTGATATTGGATTTTTCAACAGTAAGCGACTTAGGTTTATCAGTCCGTTACCTAACACCGTAATGTCGCGAACTGTCCTCGCCAGTAGCAGCAGCACGCGTTCTAAACTTTCAAAAAACAATGCACAAAGGAAGGGAAACTGAAAATGCCTACTTGAGAAGATCGTTGAAACTCGAGGCAGGATATAAGCGCTGGGGAAAAGAGGTCAAGTATCATCGCCGATTCTCGATTCGCTCACCGTGTAGATGTCGTCGAGAACACCCGTGGCCGCCACCACCCAGCCGGTGTTCAGGTTACTGCTGTAGTACTCAATGTTGTAGCCAATGATCTTGCTTTGACCCTCATGACCCGGGCTCCACGTCAGGGTGACGGAGTTGCTAGTAGCGTTTACTATCCGCGGCTTACTCGGATTCTGCGGCAACGCCGACACGTCAGGCGTCCGATGGAAGCTGGCACCGGTGCTGATGGTCAGGTACGCCGACCAGGAGGTGTTGCCGGACTCCGACGAGGCGATACAGGTGTATAGGCCGGAATCATTGGCATGCAGGTCGTCGATGAACAGCGTGCCGTTGATGGCCATCGTGATGCGGCCGCCCGGTCGCACGAGTACACCTTCCTTGTGCCAGTGAACCCGCGGCGTGGGTGTACCGACCGCACGACACGGCAACGAGGCGACACTCTTCAGCGGCAGGGTCTGATTCGCCGGGCCCAGCTCGATTATGGGTGGTGGAGTCTCCTCGACGGACGTCACCTATTTCGCCGACAACGATTTTACCTATCTACGGATCTCATTCAGTGGAGAAGAAAGTTGGCTGGCTAAATGCCATGCTCTGTCTTTCCTTTAATTCTAGGATATGGGACCAGAACGAGTCCAGAGTTCGTAAGACTTACTTTAATATACTTTAATAAATAAGATTGAAGAGATATATTCCGAGTAAAATTTGTTTTAATACTCTCTAAATTCTTTGAAGTAAGATTTCACTCTTTTGGAATAAAATGTATTCCAAAGAATTTAGAGAGTAACAAGACAAATTTTATTCGGAATATATTTGTTCGAACAAATGAAAGATTAAAAAGATTCTTTAAGTAAACATTAATAAAAAAAGGAAAACGAAAAGCTATTAAGAATCAGCGCTTTAAGTGATGCGCTTAAATATATACCTTCAATCTTTCCAAGAAAAGTGGCTACATAAATAATTCGATCCATAATTCGATTGGAATCTTAATATTTTAGTTTGGAACTTTGTTGACTTCACACCTTTTTTTGCTGTAATATCTAGAATATGAATTACGTGCTGGCCATCCATGATACTTGGGCTACTGAATTGAACGAATATTCAATCTAACGTTCTTTCGAATACGTCGTTGGAAATATGTTAAAAAAAAAAAATTCAAAAGTTTCCTTTCTACACTACACCTTTCAACTTTGATCCGTTGCGAACGAATAAGTTATGGAGTTTTCATTCGCTAAAGTAGATTCGCCGTAATGCTCCCTACATGTAGATAAGAATTTTATTCCAGAATGTGGGGCAACTCCCCTCAGGCTAGGACTGTGGTACCACAGTGCACCAGCCGGAATGGTAATTTTGCACTCATCCGGAAGGGAACGAAGAGGAGAGGAGGGGATGATATAAATATGTATCGAGAAAATGAACCACTTAATGTGCGCGCTCGCCTCTCTCTCTCTCTCTCTCTCTCTCACTCGGACAGATTTATCTTGCCCGTATATTTCAAACTGTTGCGCGTCTGTTTAGCACGCGACTTTCGTTGTCCTACGTGCGGATGCGCATCACGCGTGATTATCGTCAGTTTGCAACTACTAACTTGTACCATTGTAGCATGAAAAAAAAAAAAAAAAAAAAGAGAGAAAAGTCATAGCGTTCGTGACGGAGAAGATTCTCAGGATCGTAGGCGACTGTCGAGCATGGGGTTGAACTACCGTCGAGACGTGGATTACAAGGCTTACGTACCTGAAGAAATACGGTGGCGGTGCTGGCGCCAGCCTGACTAATGGCGCTGCACACGTAGTGGCCCTCGTCCTTCCTGACGGCGCCCTTGATACTCAGACTTCCGTCTTCCGTGACGGTGTAGTGGCTTTGATACGTGTGGTCGGGGAACATTAGTTCCTGAGAACCTTCCCGGGTCCAAAATATCGACGGCTTCGGAGCACCCCGCGCGGCGCATGAGAAAGTGACGTCGGTGCCGGCGTTTACCGTCTCGTCCTTGGGGAAGTTTGTGAATACCGGCCTCGCTGTGACAAACAGTTATATTTGAACACGTCTCCTCGTCGTATAATTTAGCAATAGTTTCGATTAATCCTTGATAACCACGGCCTAATATTTTTAAACTTTATTTTCAAGTACATAAAATGAAAATTTATGACATGTCATATAATCTTTTTAATTAAATTTTTATTAATCAATTGAGAACTTTGAAAGATTTCAAAATAGCCTTTTCAACGATAAAAATATCGAACCTTCTGCATCCTTTTCCGTTTTAATTATTTAAAGCTAATGTGAAATTAATCAGTTTGAGCTAAATTTATAGTGAATTTTTCAAATAAAAAATCTCTGTTTTTTTGTGAGAAATAACAGAGTTATAGATTTTAAGTTTCTCGCTTGAATAAAATAGATAAAATTGTTGTATAGGAAATAAAGGTCGTAAACGGTCAAGCTGCTCTTTAATCTTTAAATAATTCGGAGCGAATTTATACACTACATACCTAATTCTTCGCAAACTGTTCATCAAATTTGCAAGATTGTAGTATATAAATTCACATTGAATTATTTAAGCACAAAATTAAAGACCCAACATAATTATTTAGGACCTTTACTTCTTATTTGTTGCGTATTCACATTATGGTCTCAAAAGATACTTTATTTGAAAAGGATAAATTTAGGAAAAAGAGAAAATTTGTATATATGATCGACGCTATTATGTTCCCGCATACATGTCTGTTCAGAATTCATCTTGCTCGCTTGAGCGTAAAGTTTAGGCTGTCCGACTATAATACCGTGTCCATCGTATGATCGTACCCTCCTATCTCGTACATTCCGGGCTACTCAACAATATGTTCGAATTTTCCAAGCCGCAGATTCGATTTCGCCGTCGAAGCCAGGCGCAAAAGTCGACATCCGACAGGATGCACATTGCGGGGCTTGATATGCGGTGATAATGCGCGTCTGCCCTCCTCTCTGGCACCCCCTTCACTCGTCATGATAATCGTACACCGAGCGCGTAATTAATTTCACGGTCGAGCGGATCCTCGAGGGCAGGGAGGACGGGGCAAGTGACAGAGGGAGGATTAGTACTCACAGTGCACGGTAAGAGTGGCGCTCGCTGATATCGCACCGACGCCGTTCTCCGCGTCGCAGATGTACGTCCCCTGGTCTTGGGGGTTCACCCGCTCGATGTGTAAACTTTTGTCATTGAGAATGTGCGCCCGGCCTATCGGCATCTTGCCGTCGTTTCGACGCCACAAGATCTCCGGCTCCGGGTCGCCGCCCACCCTGCAGGCGAACTCCGCCGTCTGTTCCGCGAGGATCGTCTGGTTTGACGGCATGGCCAGGAAGTACGGCTTCACTGTGAAGACAGAGCGAGGATTTGGTTGGAAAATCCCGATAGCGCCGGAAGGGATGGAAAGGGTTTTGGTCTATATTCCGAATTACGATCCGCGGCTTTTCATCGGATTCTGAATGGTTCCGTGGTCACAAATTGACACGCGGACGTTATTTATTTAATGCAGTTTGGTTATCGCGATTGATCAGTTGGTTCGAAAGAACAAATAACATTTTAGTAATAAATCATAAGTAGACGAATGCATTAAAGCGTTGCATTAATAATGACGTTATGAATACATAATGCTGCTCTGAATTAAAAGATCATCGATGACAGTTTCATTTCGTTCATTTTCAATATGCACGAAATTGAACTGTCTACCAAATTAGAGCAATATTGAAAAGACGATAAAGCTGGAACAAAATGGAACGCAAGAGCGACAATTAATTATGTCATACAATGGTTGTAAATTGTTAAAATGATTGACGATGTCATCGGGCAAAATGTAAAGCAATACTTTAATCACCAGTTCTCTCTGGAATATTTTATCCGAATTTGAGACTTAACACAATCATGCTACGCGAGATGAAAAGTACTTATCGGACAATCAGGATTAGCGTTAAGTGTGCAGCGCTAAACCGAGTTAAGCTCGATGGTGTCTACGAATCCGTGTTTGGCCTCTTAGTCTTAATCGCAAGGGGATGCGGGGAGGGAAATAGGATATGTTCGTGTTACGAGCTTTTGGTAAGGTTTAAGCCAGTAGCACATTCAAAAATGTAAGCGACAGACAAGAGAAGCATAAGCAAATCATTTTTTATTTTCTATTAACCATATTATTGTCTTACGTTTTAATTTAATTTAATTTAATTTAGTATATATATGATATATATAGTAATTCAAGATTGAATTATTTAAGCAATAAAGATCCAGCGACCGTTATAGGCATTTTAATTTCTAGTATTAATTAAATTTATTCGTGCATCAATTACAAAATAAAAATAAGAACAGGAGATTACAGAGTTAAGCGAGAAAAGTTCTCTACTATAATTGGCCAATTTTTTTATTGCTTATGTTTTGGTTTTCTGTGTGCTATGGGCTTTAAACTAGAAGTACATAGATTAACGTAAGCAAATTAACATTTTTTATTTGCTACTGCTTACACAGAAAAATAGTAATGACTTGTTTCAAGTATTTTAAAAGTTCATATATCATTGCAAGCATCAAATTTATTCAACAAAATTTTCCGAATTTTAATACATAAGTTTAATACTTTTTTAATCAAGATTATTAAATTAAAATAAATTTAATTGCTTATCATACAAAGTCGTTTCTTCGATAAAATTTCATAATTCTTCCAAGGAAAAGAAATCCCTGAGTATATAATGAGTATTTCTAAAATTTATAACAAATATTATTATCAAGAAAATATTCTTTGTTAAAAATAATCTCGTTACTTAAAAGAAAAAAGTAAATTAAGTGATCATTTTTCTAAATAAAATTTTTCTATGTGTAGTACGTACCTACATTATTGTTTTACGTTCTCTATTGCAATTGGCCAACTTACTTATTATTTATGTTTTACTGTTTTATGTTTTTCCGTGTATCTATCATGATTCTTACCATGAACCGTGAGGACCGCTACCGCAGACTCCTTAGTGCCAACCATGTTTTCAGCGATGCATTGGTATTTGCCCTGATCGGCTGGCCTCACGTCAGATATCATTAGGTTACCCCCGTCCACGAGGGTTATCCTGAAACGGCCGATGAACGATTAATCAAGACGCGCGACGTTTCCCATTCGATAAGAGCGGCGGCGACGAAAATTACGACGATTAATTTCCGTCTGCCGAGATCGACCGCGTCTTTAAGCGCCGCGAGCATCGTCGGGGAGAAGACGTAAATGGTCCAGTAATGTTCCCTATACTTCATGTTATCACGTAATACATATATTTATTATCGTAATACATTATTATCGTATTATGTTACCCAAGTTTCGTAACTTGAGACTAGGCGAGGGTGAAAGATCGTTTTTCGCGCAAACTGTCGCGAGACAATTTCGTGCACTCCCCTCCCCCCGTATGTTTAATCGTTCCGTTCCAGGAGACGTAGTTTGTCTTACCCGGCTCGGTTTCCTTCACCAGAGGAGAGAGGAAACTTTCGAGAGAACGACGGGTTTTCGTACGCGCGCCCTTTACCACCCCCTTTCCTTTCTTCTCCTCATCGTCCTGATATTATTTATGCGAGGGAATAAGGCGCGCGAAGGTGCGTACTCAAGACTGCGTACTTGACATTCCCAAGCCGTCCTTACCCGAGGGATCGACTCTTCCCCGCGTCGGCGGTCGCGAGATTAAACGGCCGTCTCGTTGAGGGGTGAGGGAGGGGGGGGGGGGGGGGTGCACATGCACAATATGCCGCGTATGGAGAACGATGTTCGCGACGACGCGAATCGATCGATAGCTCTCGATCGCGCTCTCTAATTTATAGTGTCAATTAATTTTCGCGTCGGTGGTGCTCGATTACCTCTTCCCTCCCTTTCTCTCCAGCTCTCCCCCTTAACCTCCTCCCTCCTCCCTCCTCCCTCCCCCTCTTCACCACGCTACCATTCTTCCATCGCTCTCCGTGTCCCGTTTTATCAGGTTCCGCGCGCTTCGATGAGAGAGGAGAGTGAAGAGAGCGGTGAAGAGAAGCGCGGTCTCGACGTTCCGATACGGCCGGATTTAATTCCTATCGGTTGTCCTAATTTATCGCGGCTTCGGGCTTCCATCGGTAAATCCGGCGTGGGGACGGATGGCGGTGATAGAGGAGGAGAAACAAGGGGAGAATAGGGGGGAGGAGACCAGAGGGGGAGGGGGAGGGGGAGGGAGGCTTCCGCGGGCCGCCGCAACGGAGGAGAGTACCCTATTGATCGAGACGAAGGAGAGGAAAATAGCCGTCGAAACGAGCGAGCGAGTGAACGGAGCGCGTGCGAATTTCGCTTAGTTTCGTTTCGTTTTCGAGGCGCGAGAGACCTCATCGGGGGGGGGGGGGGGAAATGTCTCCATTTCTCGCCTTCCGTCGAGACTTTGCGCCTCACACCCTCTTTGGAAATCCGAAAGGAACGGAGGGTAAAAAAAGGAAAATCGTATGTCACGTGCCCTCGGGTGCCGGGTCAAAACGTGATATCGCGTCCCATAGAGGACGGAAATCCATAAAAGAAAGAAGAAGGAATGTGCCAGGTCCCTAAGAGCGTTAAGCCAACGTATACAATACGGTTGTAAGCGACGGTGTAAATGGAAGTAATTACACACAAGATAGAAAAATCTAACCGTACAGAGATATAGTCCATATGACGGTATGACGGTATGACGGAGATATAGTCCGGAACGACGGGGAATAAAATAATGGTAATCGTGGCAGAATTAATTAATTAGTAATTTATTAAGTCGATAAATTATATTCGACCTTTTATCTCGCTCTCGCGTTGCAACATCGTGGATAAATTTCTCCTTAATCTCCGCAGCCGTGATTTTTTTTTTTCATCGTTCACTCGAAAACTTTGATAATAAGAATCTTTTTTTTTTTACAGCTCACGTGACGAAATGACGGGCAATAAAAATCGTAATCATGGCAGAGAGCAAATCAATTAATAATTTATTAAGTCGATAAATTATAACTCAACTTTCTTACCCCGCTCTCGCGCTGCAACACCGCGGATAAATTTCTCCTTAATCCCCAGCCGTGTTTTTTTTCATCATGCATTCGAAAACTTTCGTAATAAGAATTTTTTTTTTTCTTATCTCCGATGGAGTTTCACCGATCGGAATAAGGGAGATCGTGAGGGTTTACCGACATTTCTCCTGAGAAAGAGAGAGAAAGAACGAGGGGAAAAGGACGGGATCGCGGTGCGAAAAAACTAAGAGGCGTTCAGCGCCCCATGAAAGTTTGATCGAGTCGATCCACGGGGATTCGGGGGAGAAAAAAAATCACCCGTTCCCGAGATACGAATGGCAGACGGAGGAGCGCGGAAGTGTGCTGGGTCGTTACAACGAGGTAGCTCGCGCAAGCGTACGCTTAAAAGCTTGATCCTAGAGGAAGAGAGAACGAGAGAGAGAGAAAGAGAGAGACGAAAAGGAAGAGGGCAAGGAAGAGGGAGGAAGGGTAAATTCGTACCCCGCTGAATTTATGCGCCGATTCCTGCACAGAGGCAAGTTGCGGGTCTCCCCTGTTTCTCGTTCGGCTATAACACGCTTTCGGCTATAACGTAATCGTCAAGACGTAGGTAAATACGGTGCATACCTTCCCGATTACATACTTTGTTATATGTCAAATATCATTGCGTGATTTATTATTAAACCGATAAGCCTCAGTGGGAAATTTTATTGACACATCGCGGTATGGATTTACTTCCGATTGATGAAAATATCAGTGACGGCGTTAAATGCAGAGATATTCAATGCGTCATCGAGCACCGCGAATAGAAATGGATGATGTTTAAATCTGAGCCGATAAATGGACGTGTTTAATTTAATCCGTCATCTCTTTTTCAACTTTAATTGTAAAATGGCTTATAATAGAGAGGCTATAATAAGTTTAATCTTAACGAAGAACATTAGCTATGTAATATGATATTTTAATATAAAATTGATTGAGGTGTCATGTATCGAAATGAATCTTCAATTCATCTTCATGAAGAATTTATTTCTACGAGCGATACTTATAGTCTGTTTTTACTTTAAGACCTTAAATAATATCTTAAGATGCTGAATTCTCTAATTGACTTATGACATCTTCAAACTATACTTAAGACAAATATTGTATAATCTCAAATATAAGAATCAACTATGAATACCAGTCTTAAGGGAATCCTAAAGTCATCTGTTTTACCGATCATTTTTTGAATAAGTATTTTTTTTAACTGTTTATACATACTGTTTATAAATAGATTAATATACATTTATAACAGATTTAAAAATCTTTTTTCACAATTAAAATATGAACTGCTATAGCAACGATCATACTTGATCGATGTCAATAATACAGTCTTTTTAACTCCAAACTCAGTTTTTTACATTATTATTCATCTTTTGCGAGATCTGATACCTACTACTAGACATACTATAATTACTGCTCTGTTTTACTCCTCACACCAATTTTATTCGTAGCATATAAATGAAATTTTCAGATTACCTCTTCCTCTTATAGATAGTCTCTTTCTAAGCACACCTTCTCTCTAAATACATTTCTACAAGCATAGTAATGTTCTTTCATGTAATTTCTAGTGTAATATAAACTTATTTCAAATGCACAAAGTCTAAAACTCTTATATACAACACATATTATTACGAGTCGACTATAGAAGTTGATGACATTTACAATTTTTCAATTTCCTTTCGTTTTTTCATACGAAATTCTTGCCTGCGGACTGTGTGTTTTGTCTATACTTTAATCGTGGAGGATTTTGAAATCTGGTGTAAATGCAATAAAAAGATTGGAGGATTTGAAAATTAATTACATTTGATCGGTAAAACAGGAACAATCCCAGCATCCCCTTAAAACCGGGACTTCGAAAAAGCACAGGCAAATGCGAGATAACCGTCCGTATTTGCGTTAGCGGCGGCGTTTGATACGATATTTTTTGTTCTGGCGACGTCCCTTTTACCCCGGCGCGTCGCTGTTAGAATTAAGTTAATCCGGAGTTCCGTCCGTCCCTTTCTCTCTGCTGCCTCCACCCCCTCACATCTATAAAAGTAGATTTCCCGGCCGTAATCCCGCGAGCGTAAAAGTTGCTCTTACTGCCGCGACATTATTGCGTATGGAGACACACAACGCAAAATTCCCATATAAAGGCGCTCTATCCTATATATGGTGGCGCGACGTTACAATTTAATCGGGAATGGGCGGGTTTGAAGCGGATGCGACGGCGGGTGCGTTCGCGCTTTTAAAGGTTCCGCAAATTGCGAACGGAAGGGGTATATTTATTATTGTTTTATCATTCATTCGAAACAAAATCAAATTAATCGCTGTATAACTGCGGAGTAACGAGGCGCATTGAAACACTCGGTGCTTATTTTCAAATTTATTTTGGATTTAATTACTGTTATTTACCTGCTTATGTGTTTATTACAGCGGTCGCGCGTCCCCGTTCAGTTTATTTAGTAACATTGCAACATTCGGTGTAACCATCTAAAGTGAACGTTTGTCTTGTCCGCTTAATGCCAACGAGTCAGACGACAATCGAACAAAGGCAGGAAGAAGTAAAGGAACCTCGCGGCTTAAAGTCATTTTCAAGCAGCCGGCAGCTGCTGCTGCAACTCGCCGAGTCCATGTCCACCAGCAATGGGTCCCCAAGTTCCAAAAAGAGGGGAAAGGGACCTCGCCGGTCCGCCGGCAAAATAGTCAACCCCGCATTTAATCATTACGCTTTTTCGCTGCGCGTCGGGCGTGCAATTTCGTTGCGTTTTCGGCCGTCGCGGTGTGTCGAGCGAAATTCAAAGGGACGGGACCGCGGGTCACAAAGAAAGCTCACCGTTTTGTCGCTTCCAGGTCTATTATGTGACCGTTCCTCTTCCAATGGAGGGTTGGCTCCGGATGGCCGCGAGGCGGTCCGCACTCCAGCAAAGCCGTCTCCCCGGCGGCGACCCTCGTGTTCTGTGGCTCCGCGCGAAACTCATCCCGCAGCACTGCAACAGACAACAACCCGTCACGATGATGCACCGCTGCATTACAAAAGACACTACGTTGCCAGTTGTCTGTCTGGGGCGAGGACAATACTTCCGCGCGCGCAACTGGGACAACAGGAAGCGAGAGAACGTTTGATCTTTTTTGTTTCTCTTCTTCCTCTTTTTTTTTTTTTTTTTAAGGAATGAAAATAGGGCGTTTTTACACTTATATTTTTTTTCATCCTTTATTAACGACGTCATTTTATCGAATCATTCTGATATCGACTTACTCACTGAGAGTGCCATAACTACGTTCAGTTTGAAGCGCGCTCTGAAGTTTTAACAAGCTTTCACAAAAGTCATCCGATTTTTCGCTCGTGTACCGAGGGAGTGTGGAACTAGGACAAACTAAAATGAATTTCAAATACCCGCGACGGGTTTGGGAACACCGAAAAAAAAAAAAAGAAAAAAAAAACAGATTGTTCTTGGATGACCAAAGCGTCTCGTTATTCTAGTAGGGTTTCATGTGTGAATAATTTTTTTGCTAAAATTGCAGCACCGTAATATTGGCTTTATTCGATAACGTGTTTGTTTACGTTTCCATTTTTCTCGGAAAGATCTCTCAATATTTCACTAAAATTACTTGAAAAGTATTCAGATAAGGAAAACTCAAACAGCAGCTATTTCCAAAGGAGAATATTTCCGGGATACCCATGCGTCTTTAGAAATTTGTGTATGAAAAGAACTAGATGCCCTATTCGGTCTTTGTAAGAATGCAAAGAGGAGGGCGGAGAATAAGCGATATATATTTATATAAATGTGAAAATATTTAAAGGTTGACATTATTCCTCCGTTAACGGGAGAATTTTAAATCGGGTCGCCTCGGGAATAGATTAAGGCTTATATTTGAATGATAGATCAAAAGTTACGAAATTGTGCGATATGTAGGAAACGGAGATGCATACCATCGGATGCATTACCGGGTTAAGCGTGGAATGACTATGGAATGAGTATATATACGGGAAACACGCAGCGCGAGCACGAAGCCCGCCGCGTGCCAGCCTGGGAGCTACGAATTGAAATTTGAGAAAAA